GCGAATACTTTAGGGAGGAGCACGGCAACAACGCCGCCTTTGGCCACATCCTGGGGAGCCTCTAGCGACGCGGGGCCACCGCGAAGAGGCGGCGGGAGGAGCCTACACGGATCCCGAGCACGCCGCGGCGCGCCGTGGGATGGGGGGCGGACGTCCAAGAGGAGACGCCACAGGAGGAGGGGAGGCACGCAACCCGCCCGTTCCCCCACATCCTTCCGCTCGGCAACGGGGGGGCGTGTGCGTGGTGTGTCGCACGTGCGGCGCCGGGGTGCCCTGCCCGCGACGCGCGGCCGCTTAGCACAGTGGCAGTGCACCACTCTAGTAAAGTGGGGGTCGCGAGTTCGATTCTCGCAGTGGCCTGCTTCTTTTTTTTCCGTTTCCTGCCATTATTCGCCTCGGCGCCACACACTTCTCTCACGCCGCCCATTATGCCTCTGCCTTGCATTCTGCATGGCGAGGGAGGGAGGGTGGGGAGGAGGGGAGTCGTTTACGCGGGGGAGGAGAACGTCTGAGAAGCGCGATAAGAGAAGGAAGAAAAAAAAAGAAGAGAGAGAAATTCAACTCCGTGTGGTGTAACTTGTTGAGGAGGAAAAGAAAGGGAAAGAAGTGCGTCTTCGCAGGAAGGGGGAGGATGAATAGGTGTGGGTAAAAGTGGTGTTTAGGGAGTTTGACCCACCGTGTGTGGGTGGCGCGAAAATTATGTTGCCCTGCTTGGCTGGTGAGCCCTTGTGCTCTTGTGCATATGCCTCATGCCCCCTCCTCCCCCGCGTCTTTCTCTGCTTGCTGCCGTTGCCAACATTTACGTGTAGCTGGGTCAGTGGCCGGCGTTGGGCCTTCCCTCGACGGCGCGGAGGAAGACCAACGTGGCACCGTCGCATGTTTCCCCGCCCATTCGAGGTTCCCTGGGCGACGCGCCCGCCTTCTTACTACCTTTATAAGGCTTCCTCCTCGGATCAATCCGGGTCTCCTTTTAGCGGCGGGGGAGAAATTTCGTTTACCTCCTTAGCTATTGTCTTTTCGGTCTTCGCCGCCGCCGCCGCGATTTTCGTCGGCGTTTTGTTTTGCTTGAACAAGCAGCTCTGCGAAAGGCGAAGAACGCCCGAGGAGGAGTTGCACTACCCCGAGGCTGAGCCAGCGCCGGTGCCACGAGGCATCGACGGCAGCAGAAGTGTGGAGGGGGCGGTGCTGCTCAGCGACGATAACCGCGACGTTCTCGACAGCACGAGCGTCTTCCTGACTCTTCTGCACTCCTGCTCCTCTGCCTCCTCTGCCTCCTCCTCGTCGCCGCCGGGCTCCTTTGCGGCTGCGACGCGGGAGGACTTGGTAGACGCCGCCGCGGGCATCGCGGGCGAGGCCGACGAGGCACGGACTGCGCAGGGTGAGGGGGACGCAAATGCGCATCCGCGCCGCTGCGGGCCACACTGCCTGCACCTACCGGAGGAGATCCAAGACGTCTCCACGAACTCCATGCGCAGGCTCTACGTGCGGCGATCCTCGGAGTGTGTCTACGGCTCGTCGAGTTACATCATGGGCAGCAGGACGGAGCCGGTGGCATACCTCTCTGAGAAGAGCGAGGGAGAAAAGGAAGAAATAAAAGTTGGCGAGCCCAACTCCCCCGGCGGCGTATTTTGGGGGGACGCGCCCACGCGCATCTTTGAAGAAGGCGCTGGCGCCCCCGCAGCCGAGAGTGCAGGCCACGGGGCAGCAGGCGGCACGGAAAATGGCATGCGTCCAAACGTCACCGAGGGAACCGTGGTTGCCTTCAACCCGAGGGGGCCGGCGACGGGAGCCCGCAACGAACCCTTCCGCTGACGGAGGAATGGGTACACTGCATCTGAGCGTCGTCCACAGGACCCTCCCCCCCCCCCCACCCAGTGGCCACCTCGGGCCCCGTTTGGCTTTGCAGCTTCTGCCAACTTCTTCGTTCGCCTCACGAGGTGCAGGTTGTCGTGATCCGTTGCTTCTAGCGGAGTTGGCGGGCAGGCTACGGCAGTCGCGGATGCAGGCGACTTTGACAGAAGCCCACACCTCCTCCATCTTCAATGATTTGTTGCGAAAACGATAAGAATGCGGTCTGACGGTGTATTTGTTGACAGTCCCACTGCTGCGCCGTACAGCCGATCACTTCCGCGTGGAAGTGAGTGTGTGTGTGTGTGTTCCGTTTTGTTTCACGTTATTTCTTTCTCCTTTTATTTCTTCCTCCGCATCCCGCAATACGGAGGGTGGACGGGATGTTTTTTTTTTCTTTTGGAATTAATTTGGCAAATTGTGTGCTGCAAGCTTCTCCTGTATTTCTTCTCACTTGTGTGGCCCAGTCTCCTCTCGCACGGTCGTGCGAGCTTCGGCATGAATCAAAAGAGGTGGAGTGGCGGCAGTGTTGCTCTCGGGCACGTTGACCCCCACCTCTGCGTCTCTCTCTCTCTCTTTCTCTTTCTCCGCCGTCGCACGTCCTGCGTGCTCGTGCGAAAGACGTGGCGGCTGCATCTTTTGTCGTCTTTTTTCCATTCCTCACCTGCCTGCATTCTGTTCTTGTTGTTGCCATTGCCTTCTCACCACTTCTTCTTCATTTGTTTTTCTGCTGGCGGACGGTGTCCCCTCGTGACTGTGGGCACCGCGGCGAGGAGCGCAGCGAGAAACAAGGCGAGCATGACAGCGTCGGCGCCCAGAAGAACTCTCACGGCGACGGAGGCGGCGGAGCTGTTGGCCTCCGTGCGGTACGTTCTCCTCGACCTGGATGGCGTGGTGTGGACCGGGCAGCACGTTGTGCCGAATATTCCGCAAACCCTGGCCTACCTCCGCTCGTGCGGAAAGCAGATTCGCTTCCTCACTAATAACGCCAGCGTCTCTCGTGCCGGCGTCGTGCGGAACTTTCAGAAGCGCGGCATCGAAGGCGTGCGGGAGCACGAGGTGTACAACAGCGGCTTTGCCGCTGCGCTGCGGCTGCAAAGCATGATGGCCGCAGAGAAGAGCACCGGGCCGGAAAGGCCGCTGGTGGAGAGAAACGTCTTTGTTATTGGCGAGGACGGGCTCCACGAGGAGATGCGGCGGGTCTTGGCCCCGGGGTACGTCACCTACGGACTCGAGCTGCACGACGCAGAAAAGTGTGGCGGCTACGACGCCAACGTTGTGGCGACCGCGTGGCGGCAGCGCGTTCTCCCGGCGCCGCTCCAGCCTTCTTCCTGTGGGGGCGCAGCGGCAGGCGATGGTGCCGAGCGCATCTCGCTCACCGATCTCTCGCCCGCCGCGGTGGTGGTGGGGCTTGATCTGCATTTTAACATGCTCAAGCTTGCCTGCGCCTCTCTCTGCCTACAGGGGCGGCCTGCGGCACAGCCAGCGGGTGCCGCCCCAACCGCCCCTGCGTATTTCATTGCCACAAACGAAGATCCTCAGATTCCCATTGGGGAGGACGGCACTCTAGTCCCAGGCGCTGGTGGGATGGTGAGTGCCCTGCGCATCGTCTCCGGGCGCTCCCCTGACGCGGTCTGTGGCAAGCCGTACGTGGACATGGCGAAGATCCTCTTCGAAGCGGAGGGAATCACGGACCCGCAGCAGTGCCTGATGGTCGGGGACAGGCTGACGACGGATGTGGCCTTTGGGAACGCGGCCGGCTGCAAGACGATGCTTGTGCTGAGCGGAGCGGAGAAGATGGACGACGTCAGGGAGGCGGAGCGGGGCGGTCACGTGTCGCTTTTGCCTGACTTTATCGCGCCGTCCCTCTCCATCTTTTTTGCCTCCCGCGTAGGCGCACGACTGGGTTGATGCCCGCCTCCACCTTTTCTTTTTCTTGGACACGTAAGGAGGAACGAAAATAATAAGAATACATGCGCGAACGGAAGTGTGTGTGTCTGTGTGTGTCTGTGGGAGGGAGGGAGGGAAAGGGAGAGGGGGAGTGCGTGCCTGCTGCTTCGCCCGCTGCCCCTTCCATCCCGCTGCGACGCCACTCGCACGCCGCCGCTTCTCCGCCGGTCTTCACATTTCCCTGGAAGCTGCATTTTGCTGCACTTGGTGGTGTTTGCGGTGGGGTGTGATGGGGCGAAGGAACCCAAAACAAAAGAAAAAACGAATGACTGGAAGTAAAAGAAGTGCGTGTTGGCCCTCTCACCTCTCCCGCGTCTCCGTCATCCCGCAAGACTGTGTGTCTCTCCCCCTTCCCTCTCATGTTCCTCCTCCTCTTCTCCCATCTGCGCGGTGTGTGTGTGTGTATGTGTGTATGTGTTCGTAGCCGTGGGCCGCCATGCACTACTGGCACCCAACGCACTGCACCCTGCAGCTGAACTTTGTGCAGCCCGACGGCGGCGCTCCTCTGGCGGCGGGCGACGCCTACAGTGGAACCTCCGCCATTCGCTACGTGCGGCGCCCCCTTCCCAGTGCGACACCGCAGGCGGCCTTCCCCGCAGTTGACGTGGAGGCCAGCGACGGGCTCCACTTCCACGCTATCACGGCCCCCACACCCGCGCTTCCACGGGCCCGGCCGCTTGTGCTCCACTCCCTTAAGGTGCAGCCGCAGCAGGCGGCAGGCGGCGCAGGGGCGTTGAAGGTGCTGAAGGTTGTGGAGGGTGGCGTCTGCAGCGAGGACGGCGGCGGTGCCGAGCGTGGAGGGCGCACCGGCGCCGCCGCGAAGGGTGAGCGCCCGCGCTGGCACAAGAAGGCGAAGGGCAGGCCCAGCGATGTCACGGGCCCGGCACACCACGGAGTCCCCGACGCCGACGCGCAGCGGCAGCAGCAGGAGCTGCGGGATTGTGCGGACCCGGGGTCGAAGCACGTCTTCTTTGAGGGGGGTGCGGGCATGCCTGCCGGCTCCAGCGTCACGCTCGTCGTCGCCTTCACGGGCAGGGTGCAGGGGTGGGATCAGGGAGGCATCTACACGAACGACACCACCGCGGCGCCGGCGGCAACCGCTGCGCGTGGGGTGCTCCTCACGCACTTTGAGGTCGCCTTGGCGCGTCTCGCCTTCCCGTGCCCCGATGACGCTCAGCGCTACCGCCCCATTTGGCACCTGCAGTCGCTGCAGCTGCCCGCAAGCTACGGCCTGGTGGTGAGTAACACGGCGCAGTTGTCCGAGCGGGCCATGGGCGGGCGAGGGACGCAGCACATCTTTTCCCCCGTCGGGCCGCTGCCCGCCTACGCGTTGGCCTTCGCCGCCTTCAGCGACGCCGTGGAGGTGGTGGAGGAAACGCTGCGCCTGCGTGGGTTCCCCACGGCCGCCGAGGCAGACTGCAACGCCGACAAAAGACTAGTGCCGCTGCGAGTGGTGGCGACCACATCAAGTGGGTTGACGCCGCATAGGCTCATGCGCATCGCCGCCACTGTGCAGGAGGCGGTGGAGCTCTTGGAGGACTTCTTCGCCGCCCCGCTGCCGCTGCAGCGGATGCCCTTTTCGCACGCGTTGGAGTGGCAGGAGGAGGTGCTCACGATTGTGGTTGCCCCCACGATGCCGTACATCTCGGGCATGGAGCACCACGGCTGCATCTTTCTCAACGAGGCCATCTACCGCTCCTCCGCCTGTGACGGCAGTGGGAGGGGGCCAGGCAAGCACCACGCCACGGGGGCAGGTGGCGCAACTGAGTCCAGCAGAGCGGAGCTTATCGTCCACGAACTCGCACACCACTGGGCGGGAAACGCCCTCGGAATGCCCTTCATCCTCAAGGAGGGGATCTGCCTCTTGCTGGAGCAGTGCCTCGGCGATGTCTTGATGGGGAGGCCGATGCGCAGGATAAAGCCCTCGGGTGAAAACATCGTGTCCGCCACCGTCGCGCCGTCCCGTGGGGTGGCGCCGACGACGCTGGCGACAGCCGTGGAAACACCCACGGCGGTGCTCGTGGTGGACACCGAGAAGGGCAAGGAGTTCACCGGGCACTCGTACCAGAAGGCACTAAATACGCTGCGGGATGTGGCGAGTGGCATGGGATTTGCCGCCTTCAAGGAACGCATGCAGCGCATGTACCAAACGGAGGTGGCGGGGGGCAGCAAAAGCGGCTGCGCGGTCGACGGAAGTAACGACGCGGATGCTCTCGTGCCGCCGTACGTCACGGCGACACAATTTTTGGCGTACATGAAGGCATAGCCTACGCCTATTGCGGGTCCGTGCCGACAAACTAAGCTGCTGGGGGCCGCACCTCACTGGTCGGGGCGGAGCGGACGCGGCAGGATGGCAAACGCCTACTTGGCTCTGCTGGACAGTCACGTCTGAGGGCAATTTAAGCTGCTCGATTCCTGCCTCCCCGTGGGCGACGTGACGTGTGTGAGTTGATCGCGGGCATTCGTGGAAAGTTTGCGGCATCGCCATCCCTTTTACTCCCCCCTCCCCCCACGCACACACACGCTCGCTTCCCATGGATGCGCCCTGTCTTGTGAGTATGTAAGGATATTTTGTTTTCATTTTGCTTTTTTTTTTACGTTGCTTCTCTTGTCCCTCTCTCGCGTCTCTCAAGCCACAGCCATACGAGGATCCACCCCGCCATGCGCCGCGTCATCGCTTCACGTCTTTGCGCCCAACGCCCTGCCCAGTGTGCCGCGACGGCAGCCGCCGCGCTGGCGTTCAACGCGTCTGTGCGGCGCCAGGGCACCCGTCAAGGGCCCCCCGCCGGTGTTCCGCCGGAGTTCCGCGCCCCGCCGCAGGGGTCGCGTCCGTCGCAGCACGAACAGCAGCAGCCGGAGGCGCACGCCGCGCCGGAGGAAAACTTCGAGCCACCGCAGAAGCCCACGGAACCCCCGAAGATGCTGAAAATAGACACGAACGCGAGGGGCATCGCCACCGTGCAGCTCGGCCGGCCCCCGGTGAACTCCCTCAGCCTGGAGGTCTTTGAGGAGCTCAACAAGTGGATGCTGTGGCTTGGGAGCGACGAGGGGTGCAACGCCGTCATCCTCACCTCCGCGATCCCCACGGTGTTCTCGGCGGGGCTGGACATCAACGAGATGTACAAGCCCCAACCCGAGCGTCTCCGTCGCTTCTGGCAGGCGTTTCAGGAGACCTGGCTGATTCTCAACAGCTTCCCCAAACCCATCGTCGCCGCGATCAACGGCAACTCCCCCGCCGGCGGCTGCATCTTGTCCCTCGGCGCCGACTTCCGCGTCATGTCCCGTCACCCTGCGGGGAAGCCCGACCGCCTCTACCGCATTGGGATGAACGAAACCAAGCTGGGCCTCGCGGCCCCTGCGTGGGCGATCCCCGCGTACGCGTACATCGTGGGCTCCCGCAACGCCGAGCGCATGCTGCAGCTGGGGGAGACACCGACCGCCGATGAGGCCCTCAAGCTTGGGCTGGTGGATGCCGTGGTGGAGGAGGAGCAGCTGCGCGAGGCCGCGCTGCGGGAGGCGGAGCGCTTCTTGGCGGTTCCGCAGCAGGCGCGGTGGATGTCGCGTGACATGATGCGCCGCGAGTTCCTGCAGCACATCGCCACCGACGAGGATAGAGAGTATGACACGCAGTTTGTGGTGGAGCTCATGATGAACCCCGAGGTGCAGAAGGGACTGGGCGCCTACATGGCCCGCCTAAAGGGGCAGCAGGTGCGAAAGTAATCCACTTCCCCCCACCACCACGCCCCCTTTTGGGCGCCGCCGATTCCCACCGTGCCACGTAAACGCACGGGCGCGTGCCCACGCATGCGAAGTGGGGATGGCGGCGGCCGCTGGGGCTTACCGGAGGGGCAGGGAATACTGGATGAATGCGTAGCAGCGCGGGTAGCAGGAGTGTTAAAAGAGGCAAAGGAACGGGACAGAAAGGCATAATATACTCACGACAATTTAAAAAGAAAAAAAACAAGGCGGGAACTGTTCTGAGAGATGTCCTCGCACTTACGACCGACTCCTGCAGGGGCGACTCCGTGGTTCTTGGTGTGCGGACGTACAAGGCGTTGACGGGGCGTGGTGCATCCTCTTCGTGCTGGTGCGTCTGTTTGACGCCGCGCACGTTTTTTTTTTATTCTCGTGTGTGCCGCCGCAGAAAGACGCACAGCTTTTCTCCGCGCCCTTTCGCCCCACCGTTGTGTCTCCCCGCTCAACACTGCGGCGGCAGGCGAGGAAATGAAGAGGAGCGGAACGAAAAATTTACGGTAAACACAGGCAGCAGGGTGCGAGGAGAAGGACAGAGAGCGAGGGATCGAGGGGATTCGTTTTGGAAAGCCACCGCGGCGGCACCCGCGCGAAGATAAGCGCAACTTGGCGGCGTGAAGTGTGCGGGCACACGGCCGCCACCACCGCTTCTCCGCGGATGGACTGCGCTCTCCGCAACCTCGCGACACGCCACACCGCCACGCCACCGCTAACTTGTCGTCTCAGGGAAACATGCATACGCGTGTGTATATATACACGCAGAGAACTCTGAACTTCATAGCTGCCAACACCCTTCCTGCGTGCGCAGCCGTCACCTCCCTCTGGGCTTTACCACACATACTATTCAACGACCAACAAGCAAGGTACAACACAGACAACACAGGCACAGCTAGCCTAACTCCCTCACCAAAATGTCTCTACAAATATTTAAACAAAAAACTAACAAAACAAACATAACATTTTTTATTACATCAAAAGCTCCAACTCCAACTTTCATGTAGGTAGCATGTGGTTTCACTTTGCCCTCCGCACGTTCCCCACCGCCAGCTACCTTGCGAAGGGCGACGACGACATTTTCCTCCGTGTGCCGCTCTATGTGGCCTTCCTGCGCCTTCTGCCGCGCCGAGGCATCTACATGGGATATCATATTGGCTTTGTCTCATTTGGGAAGAAGAGACTGCCTGGTGTGACCTTCATGGTGGGCTGGTGCTACACATTGTCGAGAGACGTGGCGGAGGCGCTGGTGTCGTACGAGCCGCTGCGGCGCCTGGCATACCTGCCGTACACCAAGGAGCGGGAGGAGGAGTTTATATTTCTCCGGTTTGAGGCCGAGGACTTCATGGTCGGGTGGGTTCTGCTGCAGGCGGTGAAGATCCCTTCCCTGATTCACGTGAAGGTGCTGCCCTGTCATTTCCATGACGTCCGCAACGATACGGGGCACTCGCAGGTGGTGCCGACCTCCATGTGTGTCCACCATGTACAGGGGGACGACTACGCTGCGCTCATGGCCCGCTTCGGCCACAACACGTCGCCCCCCGCCCGTATACGACGGGCCCCGGGAGATACGATATACCCGCTGTGCGATTGAGGCGTGTAGTAGCTGTGTTTTCTCATTTTATCTTTTGCAGGAACGGAGTGTGTTTCTCTTTTTGTTTCTGTGGACGTATTGCTTGTTTCTTTGCTGCGCCCCGAGTGCGTGCTTCGTGTGCCCTGCCGCCGGGCGGCGCGAAATGTGTCGCTGGCTGCGCGTAGAGCCTTCGGCCTTCCCCGCCTTCGGCCCTCGTGCGGGGTGGCGGGGTGGCCGGCGGGCGCCAGCTGCGTTTTGCTGCGGGCCGGCTTCT